TTAGTCGGGGTTAGTGATACTACTAAAAAACGTACCTCACTAACCTCGTCCGAGGTCAGGGCACACTCCCCTTACATATAAGCGCTCGCCATTGGTCCGGTAGGGGATTAGCGATGATAGTAAAGCGCACTTCAGTGTCCCCCTCCCCGAGGTTTGAGTGCGTGCCCCCGTAACTTTTTTTATTTTAGAGGATAATTGGTATCTAATTTGTTCGCTGACACGCCCCACCCGTCCTCTCCTCCTAAAATAAGGAGCCCGTAAGATCGAGGGGCGTGCTTCGCGCGCTCCTCAGGCGGCCCCACGAAGTACTCCTACCGACCGTTTTCTTGAATCGATCGAAAAACGGTCTGTCGACATATGCTTCCTGTACATACTGGTCGAAACAGTCCCTTTAAACATCAACGTCGCTTAATACTCTGTTTATCTATTGACTGCGTGTGTTTTGAAGCAATGTTGCGTATTGGTAAGTTTTTAACTTTGTAAGTATCGCCAGGACTTACTATCGTATTATTTAAGCCACTGGTGAACTGGGTTGTTACCAGGAGGGCTCTTAACTCGAGCAGTTTATTTCTATTGACCGACCTAGTGACCAGTCTAACTGTAGCATAGCCGATCTCCATAAATTTTAATAACGCCTTGATTTCCTTCACGAAACAATGTTTTTGGATGTCGTTTGAATGCTACCCACTCATTTTACATATAACCCCTGTCCATGATCTAAAGTAACCCTTTCTTCTCTGACCCCAGGGCCTTTGTGAGGTCGCAATGTTCAATCCCGGTCTTGTCTCCCCAGTCATCACGCTCTTCTGGCGTCTCCTTTCGAAGTGTCTTGATCCCGCGCTGTCAAAGACCAACCCCATTTTCGATAAAGAAAATGGCTGCACTTCCCTTCCGGATACTTTACGGGCCGTACCACTGCGACTGAGTCAGTTAATAATGCTGACAGAACCCGACTCGATTCTCGCGTACAGGGAACACCCGGTAAGTCATACTCTTCCATATGACCGTAGGGTGTTGTGTCATCCCTTGTGGCAGCGAACATTTTTTCGGCAGTGATGGGTTATGTAGCTCGAATGAGAAAACATGTGGTGGAAATTATAGTAATGTGGAGTTTTACGAGTGTTCAAAACTGAACTGCCGTGTCGTTGTTTATGGGAAGCAAAAACTGAAAATGTACGTTTAAATCATTAGCTCGTTTAAATGCGCAAATTATGCTTACGATTGGAAATACTGTGAATTTGGATGTGCACAAAAATGGCAGTGAAAAATAAAGAGCGAGGTAATTGTCTTCCTATTCCAAGCAACTGCCCGTCGTTAAATTTGACTGATGATTTTCCGCTACTGAAGCTATACTTGTGGATAACAACACTGATTGTCACACCCAACATTCACAGCAGCATGCTGGTCCTATCTTTCACATACTTTCCCCCACGGGCGACAGTTTTTTCCCCTAAAAACCACAAATGACAATCCATTTTGAATTATGGGCCATGCCTTAGGAGTTTTTTCACCATCTGCTCTTCTTGCCCAGTTACACTGGTGGCTCGTGTTAATTGACATCACCACATTTGAGTGTATTACTTGAAATAAGCGAGTGGTCGGCTACAATTGTGTCAACGACTTCTTTGAAATGTTCGGCTGTGCCGATGCATTT